CTTCATCCGTACTCTCACAAGCGTCGAGCGGAACACACATCAAAGGTTAAGGACTTGCCGCACCGAGGGCCAGGGCCATCCTTTTGCTATTGCCAAGGACATGCAAGACGAGTATGCGTGGCGCAGGAGTCACTAACATGCGTTCGAAGTAGACTCGGTTCCATCCGAGTACTTGTTGCGACATGTTAAATCGCGATACGAATGGCACTGCGACGGCACACGCATTATCATTGCCCCCCGCGTCCGTACAACTGGACACAGATAGCCAAGAGTAGCCCCAATCATAGACCAAGATAACCCAGGGAAACCAAGAGGTAACAATACCGCTACTCCCCGGACCTCTCCCGGGGAGCGTTCTGACCAGGGCTTCGAGGCGAATGCAGCTGTGGCGACGAGGGTCTCCGAGGAGGCCCAAAGAGGGGAGAACGAGGAAAGGGTAGCAGTATGGGTACCTCTTCCTCCTCTGAGAATCTTAGACCAAGATAACCAGGTCTTAGAAAGTAGCATGCGGAATGTCCAGCCCGCTCTGCCACCACGTCTTGTGGTACGACGATGACGTTTCTGTGTCAGGAAGAGGCGTGGAAGGATAGGCGAGGGATGACGGGAAGGGGGCGGGGAGAGGGAGCAGGGGAAATGGCGGGAGGCGGACAGATGGGGGCGAGGAGGGGGGGGAGGAGGAGGGGGGAGGATTGGAGGATGGTGCAAGGGGGTATTGGTAAGAAGGGTAGGGGAGAGGGCGGGGGGTGAAGAGGGAGGCGGACAGAGAAACGGGGGGGGGGGAGGGGGACGAGGTGAGGCGAGGCGGGCGCGCGGCTCCCCTTTGGGGCCTGCGCGGGGGGGGGGGGGGGGGGGCGGGGGCCCTTGGTGCATGCCGTCCCGGGCTTGCCGCCGAAGTCGGGGTGCGGAGTTCTGGGCTGGCGGACGCTGGAGGTCGACGGGTGCAGGTGGAGTGGGGAGTCGGAGGCGCTGGATGCTGAAGTCGGAGAGCTGGGTTGGTGGGTTTGGGAGGGCGTTCGTCGGACGAACTCGTGGAGAGCCGGGTGCTGGATGCTGGGTGTCGGAAAGTGGAGTTCGTGGGGGGGGATTGGAGGATGGGGGGGGGACGGCTGTGGGGAAGGGGGGGAGAGGGCAGGGGGTGAAGGGGGAGGAGGACGTGGGTGGAGAAAGGGGGACGAGGGGAGAGACGGGGTAGCGCGGGGAGACCAAACGTGCCGAGGCCTACTAAGAACGGCGCGCCCATGCGTGACACGGCGCTGCCTCGGGGCGGGCCCCCAACGCCTCTCCTGGACGCCTTGGGCGTCGCTTATAATGAGGGGGCTGTGAATGAGGGGGGAGGAAACGTGTACTTTCGGGCCCTAGGGGCTCTCTTTTGGGCCATGAAGGGCCCTTTGAGGGGCCCCAGCTCCTTTTTTTGAAGCCCTGGCTGCCCTTCCATCGATCACCTCCCCATTATGCGACGCCCAAACGCCGCCTGGACCACCATTCCGGGTCGCGCCCAATCGCGGCCGCGGGGGCAACGGGTCTACGACCTTAACCCACCCACCCCCCCGAGGCCGACAAGAACACACAGCGAGGCACAGGACGCCAGGACAGCCCTGGATCAACATAGTGCAAACCTCTGGTCGTCGACATTTTTGATTCCGTCGCCTCCGGTGCTTCGCAACTGTGGGCCTCCGCGGTCGGGCATGGGGGCCGCTGGGAACAGACCCAGCACGAAAAACGATCCTCCCAGCGAAATGATTCGAACCAGCCTCCCCCTCCTCCTTTCCTTTTCCTTAACAATCCGCCGATCCGGCGTGTGAGTTTCAAGGAGTCTCAGCTACAGCCTCGAGGCTGAGCTTCAGCCTCTGGGGGGGTCGCCGGGGTGGCTCTGCCGGGGAAGGGGGGGTGGGGGGGGGGGGGGGGGGTGCGAGTTTCCGGCGAACCCCGGGGCCGCTCCGGGGGAGTGGAAGATAGGGGGGGGGGGGGCGCCATGCTCCGCTTTTTCCGGCGCTTTGGAGGAGGGGGGGGGCCCAAGAGACCCCCAAGGGGTTCCAAGAGGGCCCCGAGTCGCCGAAAAATCGCTCCAAGACGCCCGAGATGGCCTCCAGACGGCCCAAGGTGTCTCCAAGACGCCCCAAGAAGCTTCCAAGAGGCCTCCCAAGAGGGCCCCAAGAGGCCAGAATCGTTGATTTTCATTGGTTTTCTCAGGGTTTTTAGCGTTCTTGCCTTTTCGGGCGTCCGACGCTCGAAGACGGCCCAAGAGGCCCCCAAGTCCGTCCCAAGACGGCCCACGATGCTTCCAACACGGCCCAAGAGAGCCCCAAGACGGCCCAAGAGGGCCCCAAGACGGCCCAAGAGGGCCTCTGGACAGCCCAAGAAGGCCCCAAGAGAGCCCCAAGAGGGGCCCAAGAGGGGGACCACGAACCGAAAGAACCGAGCTTTCCGCCCCAAGAGGCCCCCAGGAGGCCCCAAGAGACCCCCAAGGGGCCCCAAGAAGCCCACAAGAGGCCCAAAAGAGGTTCCAAGAGGCCCCAAAACAGCTCCCCAGAGGCCTCCAGACTGCCTCCGGCAGGCCCCCGGTTTCTTCCGCGGCACCGCCCAGGGCGCCACCGGCAGGATGTCCTCCGTCTCATCGTTTTCCTTCAAGTTATCGCCTCTTCCTCATTCTCCTCCTCCTCCTCTGCGACCTCACTCCTATCCCTCAACGATCGCGTCACCGAGTGCCTCTTCTTTGAAACATCCTCGCTCTTCAAACGCACATCCATACACACATGCATACATACCTACATTTAAACACATTTGCATACATAGAAAAACAATCTTCCAGACATACATACTTACATTCACACACATACACACATATTATCATACACACATACAAACATACATACAAACTAAATACATACATACGCGCACAAGCATACATACATACATACGTACCTACACACAGGCACACATGATCAATGCATGCATACATGCATGCACGCGTACATACACACACATATATCGTGAAACTCACCGCGTGCTCGAAACTTGAGAGAGACCGCGGGAAGTCGAGAGAAGCCGCGGAACGAGGCCTCTACTACTACTACCACTACTACCACAACCACTACTACTACTACTACTACCACTACTACTACTACTACTACTACTACTGCTACTACTACTACTACTACTACTACTACTACTACTATACTACTACTAGTACTACAGGAGCGTTTCCCAACTAGTATGTGTGTGTGGGTGATGCTGTGTGCGCATGTCTGCGGCGCAGGTTAAGTGGTGTGACTGTGTGTGTGCGTTTGAGTGTGCGCCCATAATTTCTGCGTCTGGAGAATAACCCCGAGCGACCCGGATCGGCGGCACTGGCCGAAGGCCACTACAATAACATTTCCCTGTCACACTCCGAGGCAAGTTTTTAGGGCGGACTGGGCGTTTCGCCTGGGACTTCCTCACCACTTATGACCCTGATGCTTAAAAAATGACAACTTTCACAAATGGAGGCGGGTGGTTTTCAAAATGTGGCTCTCGCCTTAGAGCCGCGTGCATTCGTTTTGAAACTGTTGCAACGAATTTCACGGATTGAGGCCGGTTGATTTGCAACATGTGGCTTTCGCCTTAGCGAGACGCACATTCATTTCAAACATTTGCAGCAATTTCATTAATTAAAGGTGGGTCGTTTTCAAACTGTGGCTCTCGCCTTAGCACTGCGCACATCCGTTGTAAAAATACAAGAGCTTCATGGATTGAGAACGGTCCATTTTGAAAATGTTGCTCTCGCGTTAGCAACGCGCAGATTGGTTTTTGACATTGGCAAGAGTTCCACGGATTCCCACGATCAGCGTTCTCAAAATTGTGTTTGGAAGGATTCAGGAATATGAGAGCGCAACAGTTACGTTGATACGCGGTGTTGAAGTCCAAAGACTGGCGTTCTGGCACGATTCAAGATCGTCAAAACGAAACAGTCAGGTTGATCCGTGGCGTTGGAATCCCGAGAACAATGCTTTGGCATGCTTCAGGGTCTTCAAACGGTTCTCTTCCAACGAGGCAGTTCCCTCAGTGGAAATGAACCGTTGTAGGGGCCTATGATTAGGTCGGGCATGTCCCCCTACAGGCAATTTTTGGACGAACAGTGGAAAATTGTCAAACAATACTCCACCATGGCCAAGAATAGTCAAAAAATAATCCCCAGGCTATGTTTGACCTATGTGTTAATATTCCTCTTGTAGAGGGACAGGCCAGACGTGACCCTATGAAGAAGCAACTTGGAGGGAGGATGTATTACAATATCGTTGATGACTCTTGGGTTTGCACTGGTTCTCCTCCTCCTCCTCTTCATCCTCCTCCTCATCCACCTCCCAATTCGAAACCAAGGACCCCTAACCCGTTGGGAGGCGGCCCAAGTCAGAAGGGCCATAAACCATAAACATGAAGGATGAAGGGGCGCTTTCTGCAGCTGCATAGAATCCAAACCACCCAGACTTACTATCCCCAACGGAAAGACGAGATCCTCAATGACGTATCGTGTTCACTATGTTATCAGAGTTAGTCGACGCGCAGATTTCTCAGATCCGCGATGGACCCCCATTCCCTGGCGCGCGGAACGCGCCAGGTGCGGCGCCGGAGGTGCCGCCAGGGGGGGCCCAGCGCGGATCCAAGAAATCTGCGCGGAACGCCAAAAGCTTGTGTATGGCGTAATCTCTGCTTCGACTATCAGGCCACCCTCGATAACCGACGACGACGACGACCACGACGACGACGACCACGACGACGGGTCGCTCTGCCCTCGATGGCCCAGAAAAATCCCCAGGGCACCCTCGATAACCGACGACGACCACGACCACGACGACGACGACGACGACGACGACGACGACGACGCAGACGACGATGGGTCGCTCTGCCCTCGATGGCCCAGCAAAATCCCCAGGACGATCCTTCGACACGGCCTGCAGACAGTGGCACCGCACTGCTCCCAGGGGGGCTGCTGGGCGGCCGGGGGGCACGGGCCGCCGGCGCGCTCAGCTGCTGAACGGCGTGCCCATCAGCTTGCCCATGATGTGCTGTATCTTGATGTTGAGCGTGGTGAACGCCTGCGGCGGCAGCGCTCGGGCCGCCATGTCACAATCTTCTGTGTCGCCGCCAGACTCGCCGGGCCTGCCCCGCGCCCCAAGACGGCCCAAGAGGGCACCCTGACGGTCCGAGAGGCTCCCAAAATCGCCCCCAGACGGCAGAAGACTAGAGGCCCCAAGAAGACTCCAGACGGCCTGACAGGCCAGGCCCCTGAGAGGGCTCCAACGCGGCCCTGGGGGTCCTCAAGACTGCCCGAAGAGGAGACCCTGTGGGGTATCCAGACGGATGGAGTAAAGGAGGTGGAGGGATGGAGACATCGAGGCACGCAGGAATGGAGGGATGGGGAGATGGAGGGATGGACGGATAGACGGATGGAAGGATGGAGGGATAGAGGGATGGAGGGATGGGCAAAATGTTCGGATGGAGGGGTGATGCGTGGACGGATGGAAGGATGGAGGGATGGACGCATGGACGGATCGGGGAATGCAGGGATGGAGGGCGTGGAGGGGTGGAAGGACGGAGGGATGGAGGGATGGAGGGATGGACGCGGGAAGACGGGAGGAAGGAGGGGCGGCTTCGGTCCATTGGGGCCTCCATCCTCCTCTCTCTTGTTCTTCGCCCCTCCCTCAGCGGCCCCCTCCTCCTCCCGCTCCTCCTCCTCTTCCTTCCCCTCCTCCTCCTCGTCCTCCTCCTCGTCCTCCTCCTCTCCCTCCTCTTCGCCTTCTTCCTCCCTCCTCCTCCTCCTCCTCCTCCTCCTCCTCCTCCTCCTCCTCGTTCACTTCTTCTTCCTCCTCCTCCTCCTCCTCCTCATCTTCCTCCCATCCCCATGGCCCCCCTCTGGATGACAAGGCCACTTCAGGGACTCTGGGACAGCCGGGGCACCAAGCGTCGGTTGGAGGCTGGCGGGGTGGTCGTTGCCAACAGATGGGCGGGGTACAGTACGTCGGCGGTGGACAAACCGCCCTTTAGTACACCGCCCCTTAGTGAAAACGGCCTGGGACCGAAACCGACGGACCTGGACGAGCAAAAATGACGGCCGCGACGCCCTCTCGCGAACCGAAAACGGCCAGTTCCTTAATCGACGTGTCAGGGTAGGAGGTCTATCCACCTCCGAGTATGCTGCTCAGCGCAATCTTTGCTGTTTCGAATCTGTCGTCGCAGGGGTGTCACAGAATCCCGCGCGCGCAGTCGTACATCCAGGAACGTCGGCCAGCGTGGGCCCCGAACCACTGAGGTATTGAAGTCTACGCGGCGCAGCCTCGGTGCTGCAATCAGTGTGGTGCAATCTATGTGGTAGAACTTACTCTACAGGCGGATTTTGGACGAAAAAATGAAGAGTAGTCAGAACATAAAACATAATTTCATACTGTCGAAAAAAATCAAAACATCGTCCCCAGACTATTTTTTGACTACTTTCGAATATTCCTCATATAGAGGGACATGCCCGACTTGAATCCACCCTCCTCCATCTCGGGAGCGGCCAAGAGGGGGGTGTCCAAGAGGGGGGGGTGCAAATCATGACCGGCGGCATGTGCGCGGCCCAGCGGGGGGGCCAGGGACGTGATGAAACAAGAAGAGGCGCCATGAAATCTGGGGAAATATCAGGGGCCCCGCCATGAGATCCCCCCCCCTAGACATCACCCCCCTCTTTTCCGCCCCCGACTTACGTAGTGCACTCCGCGCGCTCCGAATAAATGCGAATGAATGTAAAGCCATGCAGCGCAACGCAAGGAACGATTAGCAATGCGCAGCAATGCAACGAAATGCGTGACACTGCAAAGCAATGCAAGGCAAACACATGTAAAACACTGCGAAACTATGCGGCGCCAACAACTGCAACGGAATGTAAATCCCCCGATCCGGCGTGTGAGTTTCAAGGAGTCTCAGCTACAGCCTCGAGGCTGAGGCTCAGCCTCTGGGGGGGTTGCCGGGGTGGCCCTGCCGGGGAAGGGGGGGTGGGGGGGGGGGACGAGTTTTCCGGCGGTCGCGGGGGGCTGCTTTTGCAGAAGGCTCTGATCTCGAGGATGCGCTAAAAGGGTGGCCGCGGCCGCAAAAGTCTCTGAGGACGGTCTAAGAAAGTCCCGAGACCCCGAAAGATCGCCCGAACACGCCCAAGATGGCCCCAAGACGGCCCAAGAGCCTTCCAAGACGTCTGAGAAAGCCTCCAAGAGGCCTCCCACGAGGGCCCCCAGAGGCAAAAATCGCTGATTTCCATTATTGTTTCATGTGTTTGGGGTTGTCGCTTTTTTCGGCTTTCCGACGCTCCAAGACGGCCCAAGAGGCCCCCAAGACCGCTCGAAGACGGCCCAGGAGGCCCCCAGACAGTCCCAAGACGGCCCAAGAGGGCCCCAAGGCGGCCCAAGAGCCGCCCAAGACGGCCCAAGAGGCCCCCAAGACGGCCCCAAGAGGACCCCAAAGAGGGACGAAAAGAGTAAAAAATCTAGCCTTCCAGCCCACGAGGCCCCCAGGAGGCCCCAAGAGCCCCCAAGAAGGCCCCCCAAAGCCCCCAAGAAGCCCCCACGACGCCCTGACAGGCTCCTGTGCGAGTGTCTGTGTGTGGTGCGTGTCTGCGAATGTCTGTGCGTGCTAGTGTCTGGCGTGCGCCTAGTGTGTCTCTGTATGTGTGTCTGCCGTATGTGCATTTGGTCGTGTGCGTGCGTGAGGTGTCCGCGTAATATGTGTATCCGAGCGACCCGGATCGGCGGCACTGGCCGAAGGCCACTACAATCACTGTAATGCACTGCGACGCTATGCACAAACATGCAAAGCAATGCAACACAATGCACACCAATGCATACGGCACAATGCAAAGCAGCTTAACGCAATGCGATAAGATCCATGCGACGCAATGCAAAGCCGCCAAAAGCAAAACAAGGAGGAAGCATTGCCATTGCAATGCTGAGCAATGCAAAGCAGCGCAAGACAATACGAAGCAATGCAAAGCAAATCAAACCAAAGCACTGCAAGGCAATGCGGCTGGGCGCGCAGCAGTGCAAGCGGGCGGCGGCGACCGGCGGCGAAATGCAAGCCGGGCCACCTGCCAAGCTCAAGCGGGCGGCGGCGGCGGGCGGGAACCAGGCGAGGACGAGCCGGCGGGACCGCCAGCCAGGCCCAGATCCTTCAGGGAGAAGTAAGAACCCTTGACTGCAAATAAAGTTTGGGGTGGGGGAGGAAGAGGAGGAGGAGGAGGAGGAGGAGGAGAAGGAGGAGAAGGAGGAGGAGGAGGAGGAGAAAGAGAAGGAGGAGGAGGAGGAGGAGAGGGAGGGGGAGGAGGAAGCTTGGGGTATGAGATTCATGGGTGGCTAATGCGAAGGACTGGCGGAGGTGGGACCCTTTGTTCAGGGCTCGGGGGGGGCCTCCCCCCGGAGACGAGAAGGGGGGTCAGCCCTCCCCTACTCTCAGGTCGGGCATGTCCTCCTACGGGCGGATGTTTGACGGAAAACGTAAAATAGTCAAACAACATAAACCAAACAAAAACAACAAGTAATCGGAAAATCGTCCCCAGCCTATTTTTGGGGTGAATATTCCTCCTGTAGAGGAACATGCCCGACTGAACCCTGCACTGGGGATCCCAGACCCGCCATGGTTCACCTCCCGCCCGGGTCGCAGGCCTGTGGATTTTCTGGCGCCGTAGCTGCGCCGGGGGCGAACGCGTCTCGCGTTTTGTCGTGTTGATGGCCACTGGAGCCTCACGTGTGCCTTGGGAAAGATGAGTGGTCCGCGCGGTTTCTCGTGTCGGCGCTGGACCCCCTGGCGGCGCCTCTGGCGCCGCCCCTGGCGCGCTCCGCGCGCCAGGGAGCGGGGTCCAGCAATGATCCGAGAAATCCGCGCGGACCTCCGAGTCTTCATGTTTATAAGATTGTTGTCTCCTCTAGTCTTGCACACGTCTACAGTTTGTCTTGTAGATTGCCTCTGGAGCCTCAGGTGCGTCTTGCGAACGTGTATCACTTGCGTGGCCTTTGGAGCCTCACATGTGCTTCTGTGTCCATCCCATGTGCTTCTCGTGTGTGAGGTGAGGGGCGGTTTCGACTGAAGTGCCCTAGCGGGATCGACACTTGCCAGGCGGTTGCGGGCGTGACTCGCGCATTCGAAGACGGTCGAACCAAAACTCTCCTCCTCCTCTCACCTCCCTCCTCCCCCTCCTCCTCCCTTCTCCCTCCTCCCTTTCCTCCTCCTCCCTTTCCTTTTCCTCCTCCTCCTCCTCCTCTTCCTCCTCCTCCTCCTGCTATTCCTCCCCCTCCTCCTCCTCCTACTCCTCCTCCTCTCAACTGGTGAAATTGAAAGATACCGATACCGCCACTCCCCAGACCCCGCCCGGGGTGCGTTCTGACCAGAATTCCGAGGCGAATCCAGCGGGGGCCTCCCAGAGAGAGAGAGGGAGAGAGCGAGAGAGAGAGAGAGAAACAGAGAGAGAGAGAGAGAGAGAGAATGACAAAGCTGAGCGCAGAACACATGAGCACAAATGCCGTGGCCTCACAAGGCGTCGCAATACCGCTTCACGGCTGCACGCCAGGCTTCGGCAGAAATTCCGCTACTTTGCCAAAAAAGCTGCGGCAGGGCCTCCTCGCCCCCCGCGGCCCGGACAGCGTGGGCAAAAACTGATTCACTCCAAATTGTTCGGGGGCGCCCCCGTTTTCGCTTGAAACTCCGTGCTGCTAGCTTGCATGAAAAAAAAGCGTAGGACAATGCATCGGATCGGGTCATCAGCTGGCTTCCGGGCGGTGTGCCCCAGGAGCGGCAGCTGACGATTCAGCAGAGTATTGCTCAATGGGGCAGCGCCTGCTTGTTTTGGCTTGGTATTGGGGGTCTGCGCTATTGGGGGGTAGCTCAGGGGCTGGCTCACGAGCAATATTGCATTTCGCTTCCACGGCCTGCCGCGCGCAGCGTTTGCCGCAATTGATTTGCATCTCGGCCCAGCTACCACTCCTTATATCTGAGAACATTCGCAAATCGCAAACCGCCAATAACCGATGAATGGACGACTGAGGTAGCGGGCTTACGTTCAAAGCGAGCGCGATCACATAACGGCTTGCC